TCCAGATGTCCTTCCTGACCAAGCCGGGGTGGAGAGAAGCCAGCCTGGATCCCCAGTGCCTGCCGGCAGCCAGAGGAGGAAAGCCCGTGTCCTGGGTGCCAGAGGGAAGCCAGTGCTGCAGCCGGGGAAAGGAAGGCCTACTCTTGCACGAACTTTTGTGCATCAGGCCTCTAGTGTTGTAAGTTTGTATTGATTTGCACTTGGCCATCCCCATCAAGTTCTACACGTTCTGTTATTTAATGTTTTCAACAGAGAACAGACTGCTAATCATTGGTCTGGATGACTCTGATTTTCCTTCAATGTTGAGGGATGGAAAAGGCTCCAGTAAATGGGATATGCCAGGTGCTTTCACAGTTGCCAGGTGGGAAAAGTCCTGTGTGGGGGGTAAAATCACACAGGCGAGTGTTGCAGCTAATTAATTGGATGACAACCAGTCCCTCAAGTCTCTTCCCGCATTATTGCTTTCCTGGCTTTTCACACCCATCATGTCAACACATGTCTCCCTAGTCTGTTAGCTCATTCCTTTGCTAGCGATCTAACATTAATTTACCAACAGATTGTTTAACCTTTCTCCATCTTTTTAGTTTTATTTTTTTGTCTTCTTTGATATTTGTAATATCCCCTGGGGCAATATCCCCTGGTAATTCTATTGACACACATTTTCTCCAGTGCACAGCAAATCACATTTTAAAATGGTTACAGTTTTCTTCTGAAACATGCCATTTCACTTTTTTATATTTTCTTCTCTCTCAAAGATAGGACATTAGTCTTGTTGACAACTATTTGGTGTCAAGAGCTCTACTATAATGCTATGTACATTTCATTTGTGAACTTGCTTCTCACATAAACCTCACGAAGAAAGTACTTTGTCACACTTTTCCATACAACCTTATGGTTCAAAGTGATCGTGTAATATGTCCAAAATCACATAACCAAGTTATTTCAGAGCCAGAATTTAAACTCAGGTCTCTCTTTTCCCCTATGCCAGACGTTGTAAAGCCCTTTGCCATTCTTCTTTGCTTTCCATGGGTGGCGAACATGCCCATTCATAGAAGAATATGGAAACATGACTCATTAACTTTTTAGTGTGGATATATTATTAACTCTTCCAAGAGTATTTTCATTTTATCTGAGGTCTTAAATAAAAATAACTCTAAGGAAAAAATCAAAGACTGCTTTTCAGGCATTGTGATAGGCTGCAGCAGTTACTTTTGGATAAAGAAGTCTTTGGGGGATTCAAAATTTAGGAGGCAGCTCCCGAACTTCCCTATAGAACTAATTTAATTGTTTCATCAGTAAGAGTTGTCAGAGACTGAGCATTTTGTTTTGCACAGCAGTGTAACATTTTACTTTCCCGAACAGGATACAACTCAGTTTTTTGTTTGTTTTTTCCTTTTTTTCCCTTTTTATTGCTTAAAGTATTACAAAGGGTATTACATATGTGTCCTTTTTCTTTTTTTTCTTTTTTTCTTTTTCCGCCCTTGACAATCCCCTGGCCTCCCCTACCCCCCCCCCCCCCCGTGTCTTATGTCCATTGGTTATGCTTATATGCATGCATACAAGTCTTTCGGTTGATCTCTTACCCCCCTCCCTCCTGCCCCGCAACCCTCCCCGGCCTTCCCGCTGCAGTTTGACAATCTGTTTGAGGCATGATGAAAAACTGAGTCGTTTGATACAGAGGCAGAGCTGCCTCAAACGACTCAGTTTTTCATCATGGTCTTAACTCAATGCTGAAAAGGAGTGCTGTGGACTATCACCACCAGCAGTGGCCACGGTCCCATCCCCTTACACACATGGTGACAAACGTGACTTGAGACATTCTATATTACCAAAATACCAAGTTGTCTTGCTGGAACTATATGAAGGTCAAGACTAAGATTCTGATTTTTAAGACTTTTGGCCTGGAAAAAACTCACAGTGACTGTAGAGGTTCCTTTTTCATATCAGGCTTTCTGCCAGGAACATTCCTAATTACCATATCAGAAATGTCTACATATCCATTAGATTTTTTTCCTTTCAGTTGTATATTATTCAGTTCCTGATTTTTTAAATTAATTGTCTCCATCTTTATTGAAATATAATTCGCATATACTATTGTATAAGTTTAAAGTGGGCAATGTGACTATATGATTTTTAATAGTTTCCAGTTAAGTGATGAGATTCTAATTCTCAATATTATGTTTGCAATTACTTGAGCATATTAATCATATAGCATTCTGAAGATGATATAAATAACTCCATTATCTAACTTTCTATGAGTCAATTTCCACTGTCTTTTCAAAAACTTTCCAGTTTACATTGAATCTGATCTTCAAATGTATGCCTGATTATTTTTGACTAAGTGCTGACTAAGCATTGTTAGAGAAATAATGTAAAGCTCTCTACAATAGTATAGTCTTTGGGAGAATTTGCTTTTATCTCTGATATGCAGCTAGATTAGGAGAAATCAACTAAATCTAGGGACTGATAAGATTCAAAACTTAGATTCAGTCCTTTTGAAGGATGATCTTTATCTGAATTTCCCTTAAAAGTGCCCTCCTCTTTAGAAATTCCTGAACTTTGATTTTTATTCTCTTATTCCTGTGAACCTACAAAAAGTTCTACTTAGTTCTTCGGGTTTAACCATCCATACTCAGGGAAGAGTAATACAAAATATTTAGTTTAAGTCTTAGGGCATCTTTTCTCCTCTAGATATTATCCAAACATACACTTGCTTCCTTGGTAGCTCTACCATTTCCTCAAACAACTTGTTTACATCAAATCTAGCTTTTTTTACTTTTTCTCAGAGGAGAAAGATCTGGCTTAGAACTTCCTGTTTTATCATTGCCTGAAGCAGAGTTCCCTGTTTTGTTTTTCAATTAAAGAGAGGTTTGAGTGAAATTATCTCTTTTAGTTGTGTAATTATGAATGTGTAATTTACCTGTGAATATGAATGGGGTGGCTATTCATACTCACCCTATTCTGGGTGGTCAAAACAGAAAATTTCAATTTTCAGTGACCAGGGCCCAGTTTTATCTAGGTGCAGAAGAGCACTTAGGTAAAATGCAGTATCCCACTATCCTACTTCCTCCTAACAATGGGCCAAAATTACCTACAATGTAATGATAACTATATATCCCTCTCCCCATTTATATATATACACACCTGTGTGTGCATGTGTCTGCATATGTAACATGCAGCAAGTAACTGCTATAAGTAAGTTTTTAAGTAAGGGGATACTATTATAAAATGTCTGAATAGCACACAGCCCCAAAGCTATTATTTAACCTACTAGAAGCCCATTGCATGAAGATTTGTGCAATAGGCCTTCCTTCGTCCTTCCCCTGGCTACCGGCACCGGTTTGCCTCCAGTACCCAGGACCCAGGCTTTTGGTCTGGCCATAGTGGAGAAGTCAAGTCTCTTCAGTCTTCAGTCTTCACTCCAGCCAGAGCCTTCAATCTTCATGCCTGCATATGCAAATTAACCACCATCTTTGTTGGGTTAATTTGCATAGTCGCTCTGATTGGCTGGTGGGCATAGAGGAGTGAGACCAATTTGCATGTTTCTCTGTTATTAGTGTAGATGCCAAAATAACTTATAAACTTTCAACAACTGCAAAAGTTTTCTTGGGCAATGATGTGAATTTTTTAGCAACAAATATTTTCTTTGTTCTTTAGAGCATCTGTGCACTGGAGGAAAGCCATGTCTTCAGTATGCTTGTGCGTTTGCAAACCAGCAAACAGAAACAGAAAGAGCTAACTCAGAAAGTTAAATGGATTAAACACTTGCCAGGGGAACTCGCCTTTGAGTAGCTAACAAAGAGAATAACACTTTCTGTACTACTACAAACAAATAATAGCAACAACAAATAGTACATTTATTGAGTGCTTCCTGCAAATTAGAAATTCTAAGCGTTTATGAGCAGTACTCCTCTTAAACTTTACAATCATTCTATGAAGTAACTGTTCCTTTTTTCATCTTAGAAATAACAATGATAAAATTCAAAGATATCAACTCACTTGCCCAAAATCACACAGCTTATGAACTTCAGGTCTGTAAGACCCTAGGGCTATACTCCTAACTACTATGCTCTGGTCTATTTTATGGAAGGTATCCAGCCATAAAATCACATAGCAAATCATAATACCTTAAAGAATGGAGACACAGAGCAGAAGTGGGATATTGGGGTCAAACCCAATATCCCACTGTTCTACTTCCTCTTAACAAGAGGCCAGAATTACCCACATCTTGTATTGATCAGAGTCTCTCCCTCTCTCTCTCTCTCTCTCTCTCTCTCTCTCTCTCTCTCTCTGTCTCTCTCTCTCTCCACACACACACACACACACACCAGTGATAGTGTTGATAGTCTATTTACTTGTATAAATTCAGTCAATTTTCAGGCAACAATTTTGAATTTAAATACCATGGTGCTGTATGAAGCGGACAGCTTTTTCATTTATTAATAGACAATCTCACTTGAATTATTTAACCTCTTCCACCTAAAAGTCAGTTTCCTCAGCTAAAAATATGGAGATGATAATACTACTTTCTCATGAATGTGATTATATTAATTATAATAAACTATATACCTGGTACATTGCAGGCATTCGATATTCTAGGTGTTTTTTTACCTTAGAGAAACATGATTAAATTAGCATCCTACATATAAATTTAAAGACATCCTGACTTTATGGACTCTAATTGTTTGGTTTCCAATCTTAGGGATAAGGAAGGTACCCAAGCTGGGTACCTATGTGAGTGGGGCAGGGGGGACAGGTTGGCTTTTCACCTGGAACAACACAGCCTTTGGAGGAAACACTTAAACCACGGTCTGTATAGCAAACCAAGGTTTTTAATGAGAAAACAATGGTAAGCACTTGGACCAAAGGCCCTATACAGAATTCTAAAATGAGGGGGAAAATAGATCAGAAGTTAAAGAATCAATACTAGAATGTACTGTCAACCATGGTAGCAGTGGAAGCTGTTCAGAAATAAAAGCTTGATCAAAATATACTACATGGTGCTCTCTTCGGCAGCACATGTACTAAAATCGGAATGGTACAGAGAAGATTAGCATGGCCCCTGCACAAGGATGACATGCAAATTCACGAAGTGTTCCATAAAAAAAAAAATAATTATTAAAAAAAAAGATACTAGATGTGTTCCTGTTTCTTAGGCTCCAGGGAAGTGGAATGAGGACAAGGGACAACGTAAGGCTGGAAAACTCTAAAAACCATAGTAAAGACCTCGTGCCCACACTGAGTAAGCAGTGTACTAGTAAGCACACCCCTTGATGAGTGCTGAGAAATAATGCCAATTCTTTTATAAATACATTATCAGCATTATTCTGCTTTTATAAATTCAATGGTGTTGCCCGGCCTGTGTGGCTCTATGGTTGAGCATCGACCTATGAACCAGGAGGTCACAGTTCTATTCCCGGTCAGGACACATGCCCGGGTTGCGGGCTCAAGCCCCAGTGTGGGACATGCAGGAGGCAGCCAATCAATGATTCTCTCTCATCATTGATGTCTCTATCTCTCTCTCCCTCTTCCTTCCTCTCTGAAACCAATAACAATATACATTTTAAAATAAATAAAATAAATTCAATGGTGCTTTCCCTGGTGAAATAACACCAATCCATATCCTCTCCTAACTATCAGAAATGATATAAATAGATCCCAGCTTGGTATAAGTAATCTGATTTTTAGATGTCTTATTTTTAAAAAGAGTTGGAAACTTAAGGTAAATGTTCTTCTTATACAGACTCCTAGGATATAGGTTGAAATATTTTCAGCATGTTCCCATGACCTTCTCTCTGTAGTGTTGAAAACACCAAACATCTGGATCCATTCCCTATGACCTCTGCCACAGGTCCAGCACCAGGGACAGCTGTGTATTTCAGTAACCGTGGCTCATGTTACTTGGGCATTTTGCTTTTTAGAAGCATGCTTCGGCCAGGAATGCAAACCCAGCTGCTATTGTCTTAATCCATTTAAGTATTTTTATAAAGCATGTGGCTTTATGACTAGTCATTAATAAAAGGAATCTAAAATAAACAATACTTCCAACAACAACAAAACTCTATTAACCTGTGTAAACATTCTATGTGAAGGTATTTTCTCAACAATTCATTACTGAAAATAGGTTTTTACAAGACAGACCTTCAATTCGCCCCTTGGCTGGGCATCTCTGCCTCTACTTGCTAACAGCATGACGGGCTCCATGACTGTCCTTAGGAGCCTTAGTTAACATTTTATTTTTAGCTGCTCCTTTTACTGGACTGTTCTCAATCCATTTGGAATGGACAGGCTAGGATATCTGTGGCCTTGGAAACCTCAATTCCTCTGGAAAATTTTATTATCTGTATAAGCAATTGTTATGCTTCTTATTTGTCTGTTTGGCTTTTTGTTTCAATTAAGATAATTTTTAAGTAGATCCAGTTATAGTTCAAGCCCTAGTCAATCTCCATGGTCTAGACCAGCAGTTCTCAACCTGTGGGTCGCGACCCCTTTGGGGGTCGAACTACCCTTTCACAGGGGTCGCCTAATACCATCAGAAAACACATATATAATTACATATTGTTTTTGTGATTAATCACTATGCTTTAATTATGTTCAATTTGTAACAATGAAATTGGGGGTCATCACACCATGAGGAACTGTATTAAGGGGTCACGGCATTAGGAAGGTTGAGAACCACTGGTCTAGTCAAAGTGCAGGCAATTTTTGGTATTCCATTCATAATATAATGGGTCACTTCTTTGATGCGTTAGACTTCCTGGAATCTGAAAGGAAAAAGTAATGGTTGTCAGGCAAGAATGATTTCATATAACCAATACACATAATAAAAAAGAACATAAATTAAATAGATATAATGTGATATATCTTGCATTTATTTCATTTTCTCTTGCTCTAAGCCCTCTACAATGAATGCCTGAACATGTCATGTGTGATTTCCATTAGAATGTATTGGCACCATTTTATAGGTGACATTTTTTAAAAATGGTTTCTCTGCTTTTAGTTTGTGTTCAGTTGAAATAGTAAAGAGTTGTTCCTTGATGTTTACTACCATGGAGAGTTCCAGCAAGTGAAACGTGACATAGGCGATGTGTACAATGCAGGCACAGCTGTATATCATCCCTGTGTCGTTGGGTTTCATGCCTGAGCCATTTGCATGCTTTACTAGGAACACATTTTAAAATGATGGAAACATTGAGCATATGATACATGATTCACAATACACTTCTTGCGGCCTAAACAAAATTTTTCTAACAGAAAGAAAAGGTTGACTTATGGTATTAAATAGTGTATGAATTTATTTCTAGAGTAAACCATTTTATACTTTAAATGTAATATACTGATTTACTCTTGTGTGAATGTCAAAGTGGGGAGGGTTGGGGGTTTCTATTTTTAATTTTCCAGACTCTAGGCTTACATTTTGAGATGCTATATGTATTTAATGTATTTCAGTTCATAGACTTTTTCTTTATTATTAATTAATAACCTTGGAGTAACCCCGGGAATGTGGTTTCTATGAGGTACAATGTATCACATTGTATAACAAGGAGAACATGGATGATCATTAGTTTTCATATGGCCCTTAGTCCTTTTCAACACAAAACCGTCTGCCTTTAGCAAGGTCCATTTCTGGCAATTTAATATACCTCTGACTTCCCATTATGGACTTGCTGTTCTGGGCTGTCTTGCTAACTTTCACTTCCTCTGATTTCTACTTCTATTAGTCCCTTAATTTTGGATATTATAATCCTCCCTGTCTTTGATCATATTCTTGGCTTTGTGTCTTTTCCAGCATATAACATTCCCTAAATGTTTTATGAGATTTCTGATGTCAGCCATGTGCTCCCAGGGTCTTACCACCTGGACTAACCTCTGGCTAGAAATAGTGATTTATACATTTGACACTTAAAAATCCATGCTTTTCCAAATAAATTTGTAGGCTAAAACCAACTAGTGATCCTTGAGCAATGTTTTCATGCTCATTACATGGGGCAGGCTAGTTACCCATGCTACTTTCAGGGTGAGAATGGGCACATCTGGGCTCCCTCTGAGAGGAGAAAAAAGACAAGCACAAAGGGAATGATTCCCAACAATTGATCGATAAAGAGATTGCTAGCAATAAATTTAGGTATGGAACTAGTGTTCCAGATGGGAAGAACTAAGATTTAAAAATAAGGAAGGCTTAGCAGGACATATTCAAATAGGCTTCAAAACTAGACACACAGCAAGTGGGTAAGTGTTGGCCATTGAGGGGGTGAGCCAAGCGTGAAATGAGGTGTGGGGTGAGGAAAGCAGATTCTGCAAATGTGGGAGCCCCTTTGGGAAATGTACTTGCAGGGCTCCATAGGGCATGGATAGGCTGTGTTCTTCAAGAAGCAAAGATAATCCAGACCCTAGGTGAAACTTTTCACAGGCTACACGTCACAATACTTGAGTCCCAAGTGTCCAATCAGCTCCTTATCAGTGTGCACATGCCAGTTACTTAACCTCTCTAAGTGTCAGTTCTCCTGGGTAAATGTGGATAATAAAGTTGTCTGTATACTTATCACAGCACCATTGTGAGAATCAGATAAACAATGGAAGTGTCGGTGCTTTGGGGTGATAAAAAATGTTTTTAAATGTAAGACACTATTATTAGGTTAAATTATGTCATCAAGAATTCCTTTTTTAGTTTATCCTTCTTTTTGGGGTGGATGTTGAGAAGCTGACACCTGACTCTTGGCAGAATATAGCATTATCTGCTGAGCAACACAAAGACCAACATCAGAAAACACAATAATTAACTGCCCATTTACCTAAGCCGGTATAGACAGAAAATCAATAAGGCTATGCATATAAAAGGCAAGTTTCCTGCTAAAACTCCAGAGCAATAAAGAAAATGTGTTGAACAATTGAAATCTTTCATGTCAGAGAAAAGGAGCAAAAGGACCTCGATGCAAAGCACTGGAAGATACCAAAAGCAAAATAATGGAGGAAGGGTGTCCTACGTACTTTTGCTGTTGTTCACGGCCAAAGGGCTGGAAGTACAGTGTTGTTCCTTATCTAGGGCCTGCTCCTACCTGCCCTAAACATTATTGTCATATGTTTCATGTTCTTCAAAGCAGTTTCTGAACAATAAAAGTAACCCTCAGGCACTCTAACATGTGACTACCTGTGACCTATTTCCATACTTTTCCCAAAGAAACAGAGCAGAGCAGGCAAGACACAAAGTACTCTTTAGGCTAAAACATTCTCATCAAGGCTTTCTGGTGCTGCAGAATTGTAACAGCCTGTCCCCATGGTGGGGGCAAGGGACAGGAGGGAATCCACTTCTATTTCAGCAGCCCATTGACTATTTTCTATTAGGAATATCCCATATGTATACTTTACATTTTTATTTTGTAGATATGTATGATTATGTGTATGTGTGTATGTACGTATTTTGTTGGTATTTGAAAGCTTTAGGCAGGAGCAAGGCCCCTCCAGGCTATCATAGGTCCACCTGGACTTCCTGGCCTCTCCATGTAAATTGAATCCAAATTTGACAACCTCTATGCCTAGTAAGTGTATAAGTGTATGTTGTACCTTCCACTCTCCCTGAATTATGGACCTTAAAACAGAAGATCTCACCTACACCATCCTCGTCAGCAACCCCATCATCCCTCACTGCTTTTATTTTATTCTGAAGCCTTTGCCATGACTTAACACATTATATTTATCTTCTTGTGGTCCGTGTTTCCTCAATACTACTTGTACTCCAGGAAGGCAGAGGTTTTCCTCCACTGTAGCCCCAGCACCTTTCCAGGTGGCGGCCATGTAAAAAGTGGGCAATAAATATTGTTGAATGGCTGAGTGAATGAGCTCTAAGAGCATGTGTCTGTCACTCTCATGTGCTGTCCATCACTTTTGACTTTGTTTTTTTTTTAATTATTTATGTAGCTATCTTCCTTGCGATATATTATAAAGTAAGCTCCTTGAGGACATAACCTGATGATTTTCATCTTTATGCCCCTGTTATCTAGGAAATTGCATGCAAATGGTAGAGGCTAAGTTAATGTTTTAGTAAATGAACCAACAAGATTTCTAAGTTAATCTGTATATGGTGTGAAAATAGACCCGAGCATGTTTTTA